TGGAAGCCTGCTACCTAATATTTCTCACAGTTGCAATGTACCTTCCAACAACACAACAACCATTTCCAGTGCCAAGAGAGACAGCTATCCTAAACAGACCAGGGATACCCCAGGATATAAAAGCTACAGGCAATTATACTGAAGAGGTCAGCTGACAACAAAAATAGTTACTGAAATACACTATCACCACATACACAAACAGAATTCAGAGAACCACTAATGCATTAATAACACTGCTGTTCCTGCCTCAGAGAGAGAGCAGCTCAAATCTGCAGGAAATCTCCCCCCCCCCCACAAATAAGAAATTAACTCCCAGTGCATCCATAAATGTTTTCAGATAATTTATATAGGCTTAACTCTTTATACTAAAATGAATGTCCCTTTTGAAATATTACTCATTCCTGGCAGCACCTGCTTGTAAACTGATTAATCGGTTTGCTACATGTCGGCGATTTGCTATGCAGACACTTTCATTCCTTAAGCTACTTAACCATCTCATTTGCCAGAACTGAGTAATTATTTGTTTTCATAACTCGATCTAAGATCATCCTTCTTTCAAATAAACACACTATTTTGGGACTTTTGTTTTATAGTATTTATGGTGTTCTGGATAGGAGCAGTGGTTAAAATTCAATCCTTGAATAATAAAATAATGTATTATAATATGATAGCTGTAGTTCCCGCACCCTCATACCACAATGGCTATCAGATACTCAGATACTCGGTGTACTCAGGCCTCCTGCTTTGGCCAGTTTCCCCACAAGTGGATGATGGATGAAATGCTTTGAATGACAGAACTGGAAACCTTAAGAACCTACTGAAGTGCTGCCCATGACACTCCCATCAGTGACCTTTCATTTCTTTCTTATATCGGATATTAATATCAGAACTTAAACCACCCAACTGCTTATCAAGTAGAGTGTCACAGAGAGCCTATGACAGGAAGCATGGAGCACAAGGGGTGGGAACACTCAGGAGAGGACGGAAATCCATTTCAGGGTGAACATGCTCATGTACACACACACACACACACACACACAATGGGAAATTCTGAGATGCCAGTTTACCTTACCATCTTTTGGAAACCAGAAATACCCAGAAGAGACCCACAGAAGACCAGGAGAGCATACAAACTCCACAAATACATCAGAGGCAGGATTCAAAGCCCCTGTGGCTTCTTTAGGTGCCAAAGATAAAGGCTGTAGAAGTGTGTATGGTCCAGACCGCTTAGGATGATCGTGACATTTTCTAGGTGAGGTCTGATTTGCAGTCTAAAAGATGTGATACATTTAGGTTTGGTCTCAAGCAGGTGTAAACACTGAGAGCAGAAGACAGCAGAGATTGAGCTTAAGCTTAGCTGCATATTGCAGGAATAGTTTCAAGCGTTTGTTCTCAAGCGAAGGCTCATCTACTTGTTCATACAAACTTCAAACTGACTTTTCGGAGTGCCCCCAAGGTAAGACCAAAGCCTTGATGATAAATTATAAATATCTAATAACTATGTATGATTTCCTGTCTGGACCAAAAATCAGTGTTTTTCTAATTACCATACTTAGTACCTCTGTATTTTGTAACACTGTCAGGCTTCTTCTGTTATAGAAATTCGTTGGGATGCCTTTCGGACTATGCGACGATCCTGTTACGTTTCTCTGACTAATGGTATTCCAACAGTCCAACCCCCGTTTCACCCACCTTGCCTGCTTGGGTGACATCCCACCTCATGCTGCCAGATTACACTCTGCCCTCTCCAGCATTAAGGTGGCATCTTCCAAAAAACCATTGACGTCAACCTCAAGGCTAACAATTGCACTCTTTTTCTAATCACCACCAAAGCTTCTGCCTCATAGGAAAGGGGCAACCATTTAGCTGGGACAATGAATCTCATACAGCAGCTACAAACAGAGCATCATTCAGGCGCTGGGGCTGCCCCTGCCTGACACCAACAAAGCTTTTCGTCCTTCTGAAGGTAATAATAACAGAGCAGGAGCAGATCTCACAGCAGATGGGGGAGACAGAAAGGGTGATAGCATATTTCAGTGAACCTCTTGCTGACAGAAGGGAAATGGCTGAGCTACTTGCCATCGTAAAAACAGTTTGGCATTTGATCAGTTAGCCTTTAAAACTGGGGACTACCCACCCGTCTTTGATACAACGGCTGAAGTTTATGAGGCTTGAACAGAGGCCTGAATGTAGATTTTATCGCTCCAGTTTGTCACTAAAGAGCGAGACCGACAGCACCCCACATTCCCTGCGCAAGCTACGTCTGGCAAAGTTCCTCCTTGAAAACCAAAAAACCACAACAGAGCTGAGGAACCTCTAGCTTGAACGGTCGGACCAGGCGACAGCGATCAAAAGGCAGGTAGGAGAAAAGCAAGAGCGACACCATCACTTTTCGGTTACTGAAAAGCGAGTAGCAGGACTCCCCCCAAACTGGTTCAATGAGGAGTTACACTGGCATGAAGAGGAGCAGGAGCAGCCCTGACATCAGATGGTAGCGTTTGTCGCTGGAGGCCCAATGTGCTGCGCCCCGGCCACCTGTCACCGAGTTGTCAGGACGGCACAAGCGGATGGGGTGTTAAAAGCTTTGGGCACCAGGGGGCTAAGAAAACCTGCCATTTTAAGTCACACCTCCCTCTTTGCAACAAAATTTGGAAAACGTATAAAATCATAGGTGAACTAAATCTGAGCTTAAGATCAATACTAAACACTGCATGTACGTGCACAATACATAAGACACTCAGCACAAATAACAAGGTCTTTTCACAAATGGATGCTGGAGTGCATCCTAAGGAGAACAAAGCTGCTGCCCGATTATAAACTAATTACCGTCGATAAAAAGTCTCATTCACACGCAACACACAGTGCATCATTGACGAATGCCCTTATTCCATACTTAATGAGATTTCCATTTTCTTATTAGACTTAACAGCCTAATCTTTTTCAGACACCAACTACACAGCCCAAATTAAGAGTGATATTACGGCTGACTACATCACTGGTGGCAATATCTCCTTAAAATAAACAAGGGCTGATTATTTAGCTTATACAAAAATGGCTGGAAGCCTGTACCTCTAATACTCCATGGTCACACCCAGAGGTGCCATAAAGGGGGCAAGTAGGGACAACTCCAAGGGCACCTGGGTGACAGGGGCCATAAAATACCTGAAACAGAGCTGCATTGGTCTGAGGTGGGGGGCCAATATGATATGCTTTCATGGAGCTCAAAGTGTCCAGTGGCACCCACAGGTACCCATTAGGTTGTAGATTCCAGGAGGTGTTGCGGTAATGACAGAAATCAGCCAAATCAAATAAAAATGTTAATTTAAAAATATACATTATTTCAGAGTTTCAAGTAACTGAGCATGACTATTAATGAGCATAACGGTTAATAAACAATTTTTTTAAATGTGAAAACGTATTGGCTTTCTTAATGGTCTTGATGTTGTCAGACTGTTGCAGTAATGAGATATTTAAGGACTTATTTTGGGAAATGTTAAAAAAAACATGTAAAATTTTCTATAAATGATTTTAGATTTACCCTCACAAACACTTCAGACCTGGTTATTTGTGGCTAAAAAAAAGAAATTTGTTGATGCAAGTCTCTTTAAAAATGAGAATCACCCTAGGAGTCGAGGATTACTGGGAGCACGTTTCTATATAAAGGAAAGACGCAGCAACATTCACACACCTCCTATCTACAATTCACTTTTTAGTGCCGTAAACACACCTCAATTAAAAAGCACCAAAAATGTAGGAATTCTTACTAATGCTCTCCTAAAATGGGTCACTAAAGTCATGCTTTAACTATCAGTGAACCAGGAAGCACTAATCTAATTCATGTACTGTGTTGTATTATGTACTAAGGTTTATCTCCCTCCCTAGTATGTTGAACTGTCAATACCTCATAAAAAAGCTGATGAACGTGTTCACAGATGGCGCAAAATGCCAGAGGCAACACTATATTCAAAAGTCACTCCCATTCTCGGAGAAGTAATACGATGATATTCCACTTTGCATAAATTCCTTGAATTCATTTTTAAGCTGTTGCACTGTCTCAGACAAAAGATAACATTAAAGGAACAATTGATCTTATGCAAAAAAAAAAAAGATTAAAGGAGGAGTGAATGACTGCGCAGTGGACCAGAAATGTGGGCAGACTGAACAAGCGAATGAAGGCGGGGCCCTCAACCGTCCAACACGGTGCCGTGAGTTCAAAGGTCACGGGAGTTTGCCCTGAGTCAGCAGTGACAGACGGGCCGCTGCCAGTGTCTGCCTGCAAAGATGGTGAAACTCCTCAGGAATTCCTGGCATTCCTGGCTAATAAGAAAGAGAGTAATATCTCACAAAGTGCAAAACTGACATAATTCCCCGGGGAGTGTCCAAATGCCTCTCGCTAGCATTTCTGCAGTTACCTAACTATGTGCGCTCAGCAATCCCCACAAAGGCAAAAAAAAAAAAAAACAGCTGATGTTTTAACACAACGTTACAATGAAGTTAATAAGAACAGGCATTTGTACGTCACGAGCAAGTTTGTTCTAAGATGAGTCTGTCATGAGGGCTGAGTGTAAACGGCTTCATCAAGCAGGTCGGACGGATTCATTAAGAGCACCAGTCTGATGCGTTAAAGCCAGGTTTAAAGTGGCGGATCTAGCGAAACTGGAAGCCTGAAGCAAAATGGCAAGGGAATTAAACAGGAAAACCGGCTCATAATCCGCAGCACAGACTGCATCTCTCATTCTGGGGAAAGAGCGACAGATTTGGACAGGCATAAGCCTGAATAACATGAAGGCCCTGAGTGTGGCTGCACAGTACCGTGACAAAATGGAAAAGATTCAAGGAGACACTGAGGTAATTATGTAATGTGCTACATAGGTTAAGAAGTTAAGAAAACAATGTTTTTTGTTTGAATCCAGGTATCAAGTTGGCCAGAAAATGACCTTCCAAAAGCATTGGTAGATCAGCTCTTATTGGCAGTGTGAAAGCTGAAATATGGTACTCACTGTCCTCCCCTGGACAAGGCATACCAGGCTTCTCAGGAATGCTGGGAAAGACTGCAAGAGAGCATGGAGAACAGAAGCACATTAACACCACCTAATGCGGTAAGTAATACCTCCCACCAGCAGAGGGCCTCATGCACTTTCCAATACCTCGCTTTTTATTATGTGCTTTATGGTTCATATAGGTATACTCCACTCCCCTCATAGTGGGAGATGTTCCAAAGACTAAAGCCTGCGGGGCATCCGCTAAAGAAGTAGGTGGAGATGTGAATCTGTGAATCTGAGGCTTGTCGGCTGCAGGTGCCTCAGGGTGTCCTTATGCACTCATGTGTGGGCGGAGGGGGCTGGGCATCGCGCATGTGTGGGCGGAGGGGGCTGGACATCGCGCATGTGTGGGCGGAGGGGGCCGGGCATCGCGCATGTGTGGGCGGAGGGGGCCGGGCATCGCGCATGTGTGGGCGGAGGGGGCCGGGCATCGCGCATGTGTGG